CCGACGGTTAGCTGACTCTTGAATCAACAATGAGAGTGTGAAATCTTTTGCGACATCTGTTGGCGACAGCTACGTACTGTCAAGTTCAGAAAGAGACTTTGTTCAGATGAGCACCTCAGACTAATTATTACGTTCGCAACATACACGTTGATGGAAGCACTGAAGCAAAACCACAAAAACATTAAGTCCGTCTCTGTTTGGCAGTTGTATACCAGCTGGCTGCTACCGTTTTCATCCAACAATTCCCTGATTCACTACAGCCACTGTTAATGTTGCAGTTTGGCGATGTCTAAAGATTGGTAGCTGGGATGGTTAATTTTCTGTTGGTCAGGTGGCAGCTGATCCGTTTGCCAAGCTTGAAAATTGACTTGCCAACGTCCCGGCACCGTGCCAGTAAACATCGTGGGTGCACGTAAATACGCAAAGTTCAACTGCTACCTGACCAATATCCTATGCGGCACTTCGCAAGGCTTTATCGCGCATAATCCTGTCGCACAGTTTAGTTGACCCTTTTGTCCATGCTATTCTTGGACTCTTTAAGTTCGGAACTTCCGAAATAGGCACGGCAAATCGAGTGCTGTCACAGTTGCAGGCTATGCTGAGCGGTAATTCGCTCATTAGTCTAGCCATGGGAGTTGATCACGCGCGTTACCCACACGAGACGCGCCCTAGTTACTCACCACCACCTAATCAACTACCTGCGATGTATTGTACTAGTACTTCGTGGTTGGATTGTAATATTGACAACGTTGATGTGATCAGCTACTCACACGCTCTGTAACTCAGTACGGTTTCTACATAAATACAGCTACTCAAATTGAGTAAATGAACTGGTCACACCTTTACTAATCAGCAGCAATGAAATACAGGCAAAAAGGAACTGTGTTGTCGCTGACTGAAAGTGCATAAGCAACGCACATCCCAATAAATGCATTGGCTGTTGGTGTGGTCAATAACGTCACAGTAGCACTCCGACATCTACCACAAGAAAACAGTAGTTCCTGAGTTGTGTGTATCTTTCCAGAACTTCAAAACCCAGTATGCCTAGGCAACCATATTTCGACGAGTAAGTTACTAATAAATGATAGCTTTTAAGATAAAGCGAAACACTGAAAAAGTCGCCCCCTTTATTCTGAGATTCCGTCGTCGTGAAATCGTAAATTCGAGCCACTTTTTTTCTATTTTGATGCAAGCTTTGGTAATTCACAAAAGTGCGATGCTGGTGAGTTTGTTGATATATTGCTTGTTTTTATGGTTTACCTCAAAGAGCACTGTCATATGTTTAAACTTGCTTCCGAGTTAAACAACGAAGAATGTACTCTATTATCTAGCACTTTCAAGAAGTGTTGAAGGCGATCTCTTTCACTTTGCTAGGCTTGCGTATTTTGTGGACATGATAAATTAAAAGAAGAATTGATTAAGATAAACGAAACCCTCAAAAAGTCGCCCCCTTTATTCTGAGATTCTGTCGTCGTGAAATCGTAAATTCAAGCCACTTTTTTTCTATTTGGATGCAAGCTTTGGTAATTCACAAAAGTGCGATGCTGGTGAGTTTGTTGATATATTGCTTGTTTTTATGGTTTACCTCAAAGAGCACTGTCATATGTTTAAACTTGCTTCCGAGTTAAACAACGAAGAATGTACTCTATTATCTAGCACTTTCAAGAAGTGTTGAAGGCGATCTCTTTCACTTTGCTAGGCTTGCGTATTTTGTGGACATGATAAATTAAAAGAAGAATTGAATTAGGAATCAGAGTTCTTGCATTAGGAGATTTCCGTGTGTGTAGCTCAGGGTCACCAGTTTCATTCATCTGTACAATGCAAAAATAAAAATTCACGGTCAAAATGGACTACACTTAGTTTTATGTAATGCATTTCTGTCACACCACATCCAAGCATAGACAACGGAACCTGTGCGTACATGGTTTCTATAAATGCACACAGTTGGTCCGGAGATACATTCCCTCAAAAATGTGTTTTTACCAGAGGGCTAACCCCGTCATTACTGTGACGGCCTAACCTGAGACGAATGGTCGGTCTCGATGGTATCTCGCGACCACCGTCAATCGGGTCAGTACACGGGAAAAGCCATTCCTGTGCAGTGTCGAACTTGATTAACTATTCGAGGGTCAAGCTTTCTGACCACATTCATCTGGCTATTTGCTGTACGGACAAAACCAGACTATTAACTTTTGAAGCAACCATGGGTAAAGTTTTCTTTAAATTACTGCAAGTGTCTTGATGGTCATCTTAGCTATTAATTAGGGTTAAAAAACATTTTTTTTAAATGCAAACGCCTCTGCTCTTATGCTAGCTCACAACTCGTCGTGTCAAACAGACTTAGGATGAATGAAGACCCTGCTACTAAGTACTTTGATGTACATCCGTAGGACCCCCGATGAAGGAAGATATTTCTGTTGTTCCAAAGGAAACTCTTTTATTCAAAGGATCTAATATATACATCATGAAGCATGTGTGCGTTAATTCCGGACAAAATATTTCTTTTGGCTTGGTAGTGGTTTGTGCCAACGAGGGAACTGAATGGCCATTTACCGGGCTACAGTACCACGCTTCAGTGCAAGCTCAGCAACACAACATTTCTCTTATATTCGATGACGGAATAAAACGTTTTTTCTCAATGGTTGTATTACTTCCAAATTCTGGCTACTCTCTTCTACTACTACCTAGGTCCCATTTCTCAGTTTGGTTAAAACACCAAAAACAAAGTCAACTAAATAATACTCTAGATTTAGCCTAAAAAGATTAAAGGAGGGCCATAGCTATAAGTGAAACGGTCTGAGCCTGCCGATACGTAACAAGCCACGAATTGTAAGGTTAAGGTCTTGGAGCCGCTTCGGTGTCCAGTTTTCTTCTTAATCACGGAATAAAACACGCAGCAGCATAGAACAAAGTAGCCCGTCGATTCCTGTTGATATCAAAGCCTGTAATCCTTCTCCGGCAAACCCAAAAATTGGCAAGAAAGTTGGATAGACTTATGCCTAGTTCTAGGCTGTACACACTACCTGGAAGGTGGCATTTGTAGTGACAGTCAGCGAATAGATTTATGCAAAACAACTCCGGTTTCGTCTAACGAAAATTGATGCTAAAGGTGGAACTTTGGCCAAGCTCATGTGAGTTTATAAGTTTCCAATGTATGGGAGTTTCATAACCGAACTGAGAGAAATCTTGCCCATATGTCCTTGTAAATTCCTTGGCTTTACGCATCATGTTTTTTCGGTCACCAGTCCTTCAGTCCTAAGATCTTTCAAAGCATTAGGCTGCATATCGTAGACCTCGCAAATTTTGGGTTCCATCCATGTTTCGAGGAGCACCAGTCACAAACTAAGCGCGTGTGCTTAAGTGTGTGTGAAGAAACTATTCAGAATGTGAGCAATGATGATCATTCGCGCCACTGAGCAAAAATAACCAGTTGCTTAGTGACTGGGTGAAGTCAGCTGGCTTCTGTTGAGTCGAGTTTGCTCGATCGATAGCTTTATGCAGGTCCATGTACATTGGGTTTTTATACAACCGGATCAAAGGTGGAAGAGCTGTAAAGTAGGACGAAATAGGGCGCAATTACTAGATACGTATAGAGATTTCGGAAGCAACTACTGCTATTATGTTATATGTTTTTGCGTCACAGTAATATACGCTCACATATATTAAATATCTGTTTCACCAGTCAGCTTAAAACTCCAAAACGAAAGTGAACCCTTGCAAGCACGATTATAAGTGAATAGTTTCTATTGAAATTAAAGAGTAGAGGACACTCTGTAGGCTTCCCTCTAAAAATGGACTCTTCTGAACTGTCATGAAACAGTAGACCTTTAGTTGTTTATCAATAATCTCTGTCAAGATTTGTTCACCCAACGCAACCTGTGTCTGACGATGAATGACATGTGAATAAACCCACTATAACAACATATCTCGTGTCTCAAGAATCAAGTAGGAAGCAAACCAGGCAGGAAAATCCAACCAACAATCATACATCCGCTTTTTTTCAATTTCGTAACTATGCATTCTTACAAAATGTTTCAGAGAAAAAGTCCAGATTAATTTGTTCCGAAATTATCTAGTTTCTGCAGTAATGAGTGATGGATCTCATTCGACGGCAGTACTCCTAAGCCGTTCTGTACATCGAAGTTCAATGTATAGTTATGTCCTTGAATCACTGTTTAAGCTTCTCCTTGAATCTTATTTGCGCTGCTAATTTCACCATCAAAACTTGTGTTCAGAGAGTTTACTGATATGACTTACGTACCACAGGCAAATGAAATCCCAGTGTATTCTCCGCTTTAGCGAATCAACGAAATCTATATTCCGGTATGCTAGAACTAAATGGGTCATAAGTACAGCATAACGAAACAATGTGATAGCAGGTGATTCGGTTGGTCACTGTCGACCACAATTCAGCTATCCAAGAAGTCATAGACAGAGCGATGCATCTACCCTCAAGCTGAGCTTTTCAGCTGATGCTGGCTGCTCGCAACTCACGAAACAGAAGTACTACTTGGGCCACCGAAATCACCTTAGACCAGACAAACGGCGCATCCCAAAATTAACTGCAACAGAATATGTCGTCAGATCATTTGACTGGATTTCAAAGTTTGCTAAGACTTGAGACAAATTCCTTTGCCAGTCCTCCATTATAATGCCAGGCTATTTATGAACCGATCTCTTTTGAAAATAGTTATTACACAAGCTATCAAATTGACAGAGAGGGGTTTTTAACATCACGTAATGTGTAAAACAAAACAAGCTCACTTGAAATGTACACGACTTTTTTATGATTGAGATAGTTTGTCTAAACTCAATTAGTCAATCGAAAAGTGTGTTTCATTCAAATGGCCGAAGCTACACTAGGCTACTTCCACAAATATCTCGGGATATTTACTACTACTTGTAAACTATATCGCAGTTTGGAATAGCCCTGGCACAGTGCTTTCAAAAGTATACCTTTTCAGCATATTTTCGTATAGCTTTATCTATGAACTTTTCAGAATTATTCAAAACCCTCTTTCAATGTGATGTCGAGAATTCCCAATCGAGACTGGCGTAGAAGAGTGAGGAACGGAACACACACTGCGTCATCGACCGCCACCAACGGTGAGGACGAACAGCCTTCGAACACGGAAGATGTTTCACCCAACTATCGATTCTATTGTCAGTTGGCCCACGGAAGCCCCACAGGGATTATCGAAGGATTTAGGACAGTTCGTGAACTACATGCGAAAATTGCAGAGTGTTTTGACCTGGACGTGTCTGATGTAAGTTAAATTTCCGTTGCAGCTAGCATCTAACCCATGTCTTTCAGAATACAAAAAAACTGGAAGTAAATTAAACCTCAGGGAAAACTCGGCATCCATAAAAACAGGCTACACCTTTTCTTTATTGAGTTTGGCTCCGTCTACAGTACTATCAATGATATGGCAACTTGTATAAACGAAGTTCGTATGGATACATGCTGGTTTTTGCTCACTAGTGTTTGCACAACTGTAAAGAATTCGTTTATAATGTAGGTTACTTTAATCCCCATATCCGCATTAATGGGCGCCCCTTATTGCCTCTTTATCAAAAATCACTTATTTTTCAAATGAGATTGAAAACAGTGGTAAAAACAGCAATCGAAGTGCGAAGCTCATATAGCTTTTATTAACACTGGCAGATGGTCTGCTTCTCACAAGCGGTTTTAATCAATTTCTTTCCGTATAATTAGACAAGAAGAATACCCTCAGATTGTTTTAGTACCTTTGGAGGATTTTCGGGTGGTTTGTTACCAGAAGTTGAGGTTTCCCATACTTTTTTGGGCCTACTGTCTACTCCAATGAGAATATACTCACCGTTTACATCGCCTCCAGCCAGGCAGTTTCTGCGACGAATAATCATGTACCAGGTGACGGATTTTCGAAAACCGTGAAACTATTTCCGATTCCAGAACAGCCACATAGGAGAAAAACTCCTTCTGGTACTTTGTTCTTCTGTTTCTCAAACGATGGATGATTCACCCTCGAAAGAAGACGATCTGATGAAAAAAAATATCCCATCGATCAACTAGTTTATCGCTGAAAAATCAGCGCTACTTCTGTAGTATTCACCAACACTAACGGCCTCTGTGTTTTGGACAAGCTTGATCAGCAGTTGAGTTTAATGGCAGCTTGAAGCATGTTGTACAGTTACGATTAACACTGAAAGTAGAAGATTGAAAACGTATATGGACGAGTTTGAGGTAATGACTTTGTAAGATTAAATTACACCTCACTGCGTGTTCATACTGAAGCATGGGTAGTTGGTACATGCACGTAATTACTCCGGTTGAAGTCGCACGGGCTTTGAGATGCCTTTAACTGACAATAACAGTTTTTTCGGCTTTGCTAAGCCTTTCTAGAATGAAACAGCCATATTCCTCCAAAAATATCTCTTGCTGGCCTACGAATGTCTGAATCAGGCATTAGCAGTCTTTTGTTTACCTCGGTAAACCTATCCATTCAATGAAAGGCTTTCGGCAACAATCAACTGAATGATCTTGGCATACATTGTAGGTGATGTTGTTGTAATTGACGAGTAAGTCCAAGAATGCTGTGCGTGACCGAGAAGAGCACTGACAAAGTGGTTTGGTAATCTGAAGACAGCTGCGGTAGAAAAATAGTCACCCACAGACTAACCTTTTAGTGAGGTTGTACGACGGTAGCATTCAAAATAAGTGGATTTAACTTATCGGGGAAAAATCATCAGATTACTTTCAACCATGCGGTAACAGAGCAGGAAAGAGCAGCAATGAGAAAATATTATTTTAACCTTCCACTGGATTATGCAATTATTTTCCCGAAAACTACTGGATTTTCTTCAAACGATGCTAATTTTAGAATATAACGAAAGCTGTCATTGATGGTCCATCAAGCTTGATTGAATGGCAAGTGGACGTAACGTCCTTGACGCCCTCAGGCCTGCTCAAAGAAGTTTTGAACTTGTGCTCTGTTACACCCATTTCAGTTTTGGCGGTTTTTTGGACTTTTTGGGATAGTATACTATCGTCGCAGTTTTTGGCACGTTCTGCGTTGGAAGCAGCTTTTCGAACCACCACCATTTCGGTGAATACCCATCAACAAGGCCGTCATAATTAGCTAGCCATGGACTTGGGTTCAACCGTATCTGGTCTGGAATAGTGAAAAATGTCATCACTCCTTCAGACTCCATTTGGCGTTTTCTAGAATCTCTCACCTGACGCATAGAATGCGTGAGAAGTATGCGGTGAATTTTTGTACTATTCTGATTATTCAAAGCTGATTCATTTGTTGCTACAAACATTCCTAGTGGCTATACTGACTGGGATATGCTACATGCATCCATTGACTCACATTACATTCACGTTTTTGTGAGTTTGGAACATGCTAAACTCATTCACATAGCATAGCAAGAAAGCTTTCATGACAACCGTCACATTTTGTCAGATAATAGAATAACAATTCCTGTTTGTATGTATTGCATCCTTGTCGTAATGAATGGCTGGAAACTAGCAAATATGTGGCTGATTTTGCAAAACAAAATGGTCAACTTTGAGTCATTAAGTTTTGAAAAGTTTCCGAGTCATCTGTCACTTGAGACTGTGATACTTGAAGCTATTTATACAGCACCCCTGTAAAAGGAAAGGCCTACGTCTTCCAGAATAACAATCTTGGCTGGACCTGTTTTTCACTACAAAGTTCTCCCGAAGAAACTATTTCTCCAAAACCGGAGGAAAAGGTTTGGAGTGGCTGATACTCTTCTCAATACGAGAGCTTGTTTTAATAATCTAGATTCACTAGCCGATTGATAGTCTAAGTACTTAGTGTCATGGGTGATACAGTTACAATATCCCGCAATATCAGCTAACTTTCCCCCTGATGCGATTGATCTGTCTCGGACGATCTTCCAGCCAAATATGAGTTACAATTGTGACATTCACAATAGACTAATGAAGTACTGCAGGGTAAGCTGAAGTTTTCTCAAACGCAGTTTCTTTATCATAATCGCGTTCAAAACAAATGACCTTGTTTTTCGTTCTTATTTGAGTTCAATCAAGTGACAAAAACCATACACTGTTGCTTAACTGGATGATAGCAAATAGTCGTTAAACTATCTGTTGTGACCTACTTACTTTTCCTATTTGGAGAGATACGCAAGTGTTCAATAACTGCAGTATTCTAGTCGGACAACAAAAACTATTTCGTCGCGCACCGACAGATGCTAATCAATGGACCCGGATACACCTAAAGACCTGCTGTTCCAATCCAGGAGGCCACGAAACGGTCCGTATCACTTCTGTTAGAAGGAAACATCTAAGTCGAGGAAACACTCTGTTAGCTCCGTAAATTCTCTGTCGAAACGGAGCCCACAGGAGAAAGGGAATATTTGAATACAGGTTTCAATAAAACCACGAATCATCCAGGGTCCAGAAGGTCCCTAAAATGAGGAAGTATATCCTAAGATATTGCAGAAATTTTCTGGCTCTGCAGATTACCTCAAAGTTGTGGGAATTTTGTTTCCGACCACGCGCCTTTTATTGTAGCATTAACATTAATCCTTTCTGACTGGTTTTACCGAGCGCCTTGTGATATGAACATCAGATGACTCTTCGAGTCTAGTTAACGGGCGCTACAGTCAACCTCGAATAAAATATTACCAGGTTTCATTTCGAAAACTGACCTACGCTTCACGTGGTGGCTAACTGTATGTTTATAGGGTAAACGATGTACAGCTGAGTTCATCGTGACGCGATCGATTTCGGCTGTGTCCTGACTTTGATTTCACAGTTGAATGCGCGTGTTGTATGAAAAATGCACAAAATGTGGGGTAGAAAAATTTTCGGTTGCACATGTGCACACGTTTGAGTACGACCACACCAATGTGACTAAGGCCTAAAATAAAATAACCACGATGTCTAGCTCGTGCATATAGGCATTCATTTTCTTCACAAGCTTACCTCTCCGTGATTGTTGATGTCTTCTCTGGATACGACCAAAGGTTGTGTTGTTACCTAATGAAGACCTCATTTTTCCCATATACTTTTCACTTAACTATGGCGAATGATGTTAATCGTAAACTGTTGAATACAACGCACCGACTACGAATGCGAAGAATCTAATTGCTGACCGGTGATGACGAGGTACCCCACCCACGTGGTTGACACAGTTGCGACCCGTCTGTTTCCATCTAGAGAAATGTTCCGAGAATATGTGCTCATCCAGTCCCTGAGTGCGGGTAGGTACTTGGACTTTTGTGGCCAGTTTACCCAGCTCAGCGACAAAACCAAAGTCCATCCATCTAAACTTCGCTATCGGCAGTCTCCTCAAAGTATGCAGATTTTCGGCCAAAGCAGGTACGCTGCAATGTAGTGCTGTATCGCCATGATAAAAAGCGTTGGTGAACGCGAATGTACTGAGACTGCATGCATTCTACCAACCAGAAAGCAGGCCAGTCTTACGGAGTGACACCCTATGTTCCAAATGTTCATTTGTTGCACTGTTTGACCTTTGGCACCAATATCTCATGTAGAACCAAAGTCCCCAGGTGACTTGTAAAATTGTTTTAGTCGCTGTTTTAAAGCTTCTGTTGTGGCACCCAATTTTCACGTATTCACTCATTTATTTAGCCGTTGTGAAGCCAAGAAAGATAATGTGCAAATCGTAATGTGTGGCCATACGAATCTGTCGCAAGGTTTCAGGGGGAAAATTCGTTTTTTAGTCACCAAACTATTTAGCGGATAATACGAGTTTCCATTCCATTTCGCTCATTACAGTGTTCAGTAACAACGAAACGGAGTTCCCCGTTTTCAGTAAGGATCCATGCAACATAGTAATCAAGAATGATGACGCGTGCACTGTTTGGGCATTGTTTGGATTGTCAGTGCATTGCAATATTTGCATCCGAACATTTCACTACTAGAAAACTGGCAACAACTCCTCGAGGGACCAACAATTAGGTGATGGCTGATGGGAAACGCTGTTGTGATCTGCTTACTTTGCAGCAACACGTCTTTCGAAGGTTACCGCATTTCATCATATCATGCGCAAAAAGTCATCTTCAAAGCAAACATCATCGTCCGCCCATCCATATTACGTGACTAGCTGCTGTTTTTGTGGTGAGCATTGACTATCGGTAAATTTGGACTGTCAATTAAGTTAAACTAGAAGAGGCCAGGATATGGATTACCCCGAGGAGGGCTTCAGGTGCACATAATCCAAAATGGAAAGGCAGACGCCGGAGACGGTAGAAAGTTCGTCCAGTGTGCGATGATGCGTGGATTCGCGCTCTGTCAATGACTTTCATTACGTGAATTTAGGTACCATCTAGGGTGGTCCACATCCTACATCCATGCAAACCAATAACGATAGTTAGTCTAGAAGATAAAAAATGCTTAGCCATTGTGGAAATCACATGTGGACTCGAAAGGAACTTAGGGTTATGGAATACTGATAGATCAAGCAGAGTTGTGGCGGATGGGTGAGGAGTCAAGACACACATGTAAGGAATGGGATAGCATCCACCAGTTGTCAACTGGTAGAACGGTCAAGCGGCATGTGAGAAAATGTAGGTTCGAGCTCCGCTCGTGGTCTCTTCTCGGTTCATTACTTCGGGTCCACACGTCACGGAGTAAACGCCACTGTGTGACGTGTGACGCAATCGCTGCTGTGCTAACAGCTAGGTTCCTGAATAGTCAGTCAGGGTTGTGCAACCAAACTCGAATACCCCCGAAGTAGTTAAAAGACTGCAGATCATTTTCACTTTTGAAGCTTGCAATCAGTTATCGTTTATCAGAGTTTAATTTTCAGCCACGACTGATGGGAATACATTTAATCTGGCTTCTTCAAATAACGACTTTGTTCCTGCGGTCAAATAACAAGATAATACAGTTTGCATAGTTTGGCATTATCGTCGGGTTTGTGAGTCAGTTTCTAAAACGACTGACAGTCCGAATTAAGCTTTCGCATAAAAAGACTTATAATTCTCAAAGGTCGTCTTCTGGGTGAACTTTAGGTCTGAATTAGGATGGCTGCATAGTTTAACATTCGCTACTAGTACGGAAAGGTATGATTCGTCTCTGGTAACTTCCAAACACCGACGTTACTTCTGTACTGGACGACGTGAATAATTGTTGGGAGAGTTTGCTGTGAGGGCTCTTCAGTCTTCTAATCTGTATCGTTGGGACAAGCTCATTATTGAAAACCTAATGAAAACGCAATTTCTACGTTATGTGCTCTCCAGACAGCATGAAATCTGAAACTGATCAATGAAAAACTCATTTCCATTTCGTCAAACTCCAGGTTGTACCTTCCATATGAGCGATGAAGCGGACTAAAACTAGGTCAACGGGTATTATGCAAACTCCCGTGGAGTTCTCTTTACTTTTTGTTCGATGGACTTTAGTCGAACCCGCATTGTTTACCTGTGTTGACATTCTGGCTAAGGCTGAGTGCAGTGAAATGAATGACTGATTCTCAGTGTAATGTGACCCGGTTGGAACATACTAGGTACAGGTATTTCCGCATCAAAGAACGCCATGAACACTCCACTTTTGGTTGCAATCACCCGCTAATTCTAAGGTCACCGAAGACTCTCCAACAGCTCACCACAGGTTTCGCCCTCCTCAAGGCTCACCATGTAGCCATAATCTCCGAGTTTCCACCGACCTTAAGGTCTGAGTGAACGTCAGCGCTGAGGCAGTGGCGAGACGAACTCGTGTGAAAGTCAATTTGGGGTGCACGGGAGACTCAGCTGAATCTCTCGGTTTGGTCCATTCTAAACTCCCCTTCCTCACAAAAAAGAGTGCCGGATACACAACGCAAGGGTTACCTGACCGTGATCACTGCAGGTCTTTTTAGCCAGATTTCAATCCCAGCCACTGAGAACGCCAGGACTCAAAACTCGTGCACTTATATGTTTTAGGGCATGGAGTCTTGGGGGTACGGGCAACAAAGCTAGCTGTAAAGAGACCACTGTATGCGATCCAGTCGCAAAATCAATATTCAGCTTGGTTGACATTCACTTATTAAGTTCAAAGGAGACATTTTTCTAAATCTATAGCGTGCTTACATAAAATGCTGCACGAAACACTATGAACAAAGCTGTGGTTACAAACTGAGAGTCGATGCAATAAAAGACCAAAAACCACTTGTATAACCTCCTGGCTACTGTAAGCACACTGTAAACTGATTATGGAGATGTTCATGCTAGGGTCCTACAAGGTAACCGAAGCACTGCTCCAGATGTAATGAACTAACAAGCTGGTTGTGAAATTTGGCAGTGCACACCAACTACCAATGTGCACAACTGTCTCGGTCAAACAAAACAACAAAACCGAACTACTAGTTGCCTAACAGAAACACCTTCAATGTCTCGAAATGTGCCTACCGGGCTGTAGTAGGTACATGTTTGAGTCCTTGGTTCAAGCAGTGGAAGAAAGAAGATTCCGCCTGCGGCCTTAGTCCCGCACACCAGAGTGGACGCTGGACGATATTTACGTCACAGTTCTTCGACGACAACAAATACCTACAGATATCCCCAAAGGCTGAAACTCCAGAGATGCTCCATGCTCGGTTACCAAGCTACCGTCCCCGATGAGTAAATTTTAGACTATCCGGAAGTTCGATGGGAACTGATGAATAAACGCGAATTACTACTAAATGCGGAAGATTCATGAAGTCGTTTTCAGCACTCGGGTACCACCACGGATGATGAAAGCGGCTGCGCTGGAACCGTTCGAGGGACTATTTGAGTCTCAAGTGAGGAAATATGAAGAATGTGACCAATTGAGGTCCAGATAACACACGAAGGTTGAAAAGGCGTTATTCATTTCGTTGAAAGCAACTAGGAGTTCATATCGTAGTTGTGCTTAAATTAAGATATGCACCGTGTACGCAATAAACTTAGCAAAGACTACAACACAAAAACAACACTTGTTTACTTATACGGTTCAAAATGATCTGATAAAATAATACGTGAAAGTAGATAAACCCTCATAGATAAATCCTCATGTCAGAACAAATATCCTCAGTTGGGTAGTTGGTTGCCTATGAAGGACTCTACTGTGTATAATTCCACTCTTGCTTGCTTTTCGATTTGCAAGCAATTTAGCGCTGACCTTTCATGGAATTCCTGACCTATTGATTTCCAGATAATGTATTGTACACTGAATACCCACAAAGTCGACGTAGACAAAGTGATTGGTCACGAAATTGGGATCAACGACTTCCTGTTCGCCCACGTGCGAGGACAGCCTAAAGAAATAACCATTCGAAAGGAAAGTGATTCGTTTGGAATGACAGTCAGTGATACAGGTTGTGGTGTGGTCTTTATCAAACGAATTCAACCCGGCGGACAAATGGCCCACAAATCTGACTGCTGTGGTGGAATGATCCTAGTTGGAGATCAGATAGAACGGATCAACAATATTTCTTTCATAGGCCGTCGCCACTATGAAGTCGCAGCTTACATGAGGAGTATTCCTGTTGGCAACAACTATGTGTTACGAATAGTCTCCCCATTGAAATCACCAATATGTGAGTAATTCGGTAAATCTACAGATCTAGTTGTTTTCCCCGAAGCTTTCAACTGTATTACATATAAAAAAATATGACAAAGGCTCAGTAGAGAAATACAAAGTCAACTAGACCTGCTCTCGTTGCTACGAGGTTAGATATTTGTGTGGATGACAGCCATCAAGCGATGTGCTCAGTTCTGTAAGATTTCGACCACTGGTTTGTCTCTCCTGTATTGCTCAACTCAGAGCTGACTTGCATTTGATTCAATTTCACCTGGAAAATTGGACAGTATGTGTTTGTCTCCGCAAAAATTTGCTTTGCACCCAAGTGAACACGTGGCCTTTCCGGAGATCAAACTAAATCTTGATAAACTAGCGTAGTAACGCAGATAACCACATGGAATAAAAATTTTGTTAAGTATTTTCGGATGTAACCTATACTTAAGGTGACTGAAGCAAACTTAGGACCACACGAAAACAGGAAAATTGATTGTACGTTTTTTCCAGCCTATCTCAGTCAAGACAAGCACCACTAATGACGCTAGCATGACATTTAGTGGCCTTCAGCACATAAACAATAGTATACCGTGTTGTTGTTTACTTCTTCCGAGGCATACTGTTTGCAGAATGATGCCCCTGTTCCAGCTAGACAAACCGATGCATTTAGCAACGTTGACAAAACTGTTCTTGGTTCCAAGTAGATCAAGCTGTTCGCCAGGTTGTGATGTATTTCGCATGAGTTACAACCGTACGAAGCATTCGGTTGTGGAGGTGTTCTAGGAAGAATGAGATGAACACCGTCGTTGGTTAAGAGGTGTTCGGTCCCCGATAAGCCCGACCACACAACTTTGAGCCCTTGCTGAAGTTCAGCAGATGAGCACATCCTCTGTTCGTCAATGGTTGGCGAGCCAGTAGTCACCGTATCAGATATGAGTAACGAGGAATTCACGGCGCCACTTTACCGGTCATATACATTCCAACTGATAAGTTTGGATGAAAGATGAATAGCATAATGTGACTGAGGGTTGCGGAAAGGGATAACATTTTCATACTTGATGCTAAACTCACGGCTTGGTAAGTATAAGATCCTTTCAAGGAGTCTATAATTTACTAAAGCAAACAACCAGTTTATTTACTGGTACATTTGCTACTCAAATGAATTAAAGGCTGGCAAGGTGTCAAAAGGTAAAAGCCTTTGAAGACGCATGTGCACTTGTGACTTCTTAGAGTAAAAGTTTTACAAAGGAGAACATGGTCCGGTTTTGGCATTTTTAGTTGAGGGGGTATAACCCCATACAAAAGGGAAGCGAACATTATGCTCACGAAGAATATTCAGCAAGAGCGGTGGATTTGTGACGATAAAACTAGCTCGATGAGAGTGATCTGTTAGCAAGACCACCAAAGGAATTTTGCATTTTGACTTCTCCAGACTGGGGGTGTGGTAAAATGTTTTCGTGAGAATCTCATGCTGACTGGTGGACTCTCAGAAGAGTGAGTACAGCATTGCAGCCTGAAGGAATTTCTCTGTGGGTTTTCGACGCCACCCAGAGCACTGTCTATTAATCTTCTTGGACGTCTTCACTCATTTCGACCAAACAGCAAATCGAATTTGTCCTATTTCGAACTGAAATTTCTGTTTCCAATGCGGCCGAGTATGCTGTCTAGCAGATTAATGTGCTCGAAATAACTGCTTCATCCGTATTTTTTTCGCTGCGAACACAAAGATGCATTGAATTCACGGTATTCTTCGAACTGCTACGCGAATTATTTTGGTTCGGGAAAACGTACGATCAGACTCCACACAAACGGTGGGATTCGAGAACACATGGTAAGTAGCGGTTCCAGTTTCATTGTTTGCTAGGCGGTTAGAGTGTTCACATTGTTCTTGTTTGAACAGTTTTCGTCTTGTCCCAACAGGATTAATCCGGCCAGTCTATACCAAAGCAATAACACGCTGTACTCGAATTTCGCTTCTGTTGGAGCTCACCACCAGTTCATGCTTCTCGCGGTCCTGGAAATCGAACCGTCGACTACTGAAGGTGATGCCTGTTTGTCACTACCACTCCCCCAGCTTATACCAGACATACTTGCTTTACCACATCTGGGTAGGCTAAAACGCTTGAGTGATGTGGTTGTTACCGGTTGTCAGAGCAAGTTTGACATTATACTCCGGCAGCATGAACGATATGGAGTACCGGGCTGTTTCAAGGACATGCTACAGAAACTAATCGTTCAGCTGTAACAACCTTCCAGTGTCTAGCTGCCATGCCACCCGAAGGAAGCATGAGGGCTGATATATTGCCAGGTTGCTCAAGCATAGACAGGGAAAGTCGAGAGGCTGAGATCGGCTGATATATAGGTTGCTCAAGCATAGACAGGGAAAGTCGAGAGGCTGAGATCGGGTTAGAGCCACGGACCTTCCAATTAGTAAATTCGCTCGCGCACTACTTGAGCCATCTCACCCCAGGAAATAAGCTCCCAAACACCTGATATCACGGCATATGGTGTGAATTATGAAAATTTAATGCACAAATGCTCGAATACCCATGCTAAGAACTGTAAATCAGTCAAACATTCCGTGTTTCACCACTAACCGCTCAAAACACCATTTAAGTTTACGGCATTCTACTGTGTACAGACCTCCCATAGTGCAATCTTAAAATAAGTGCATAATAGGAAATGCTCTCAAGTAGTCTTGCTTCTCACCTTTTCCAAAGTTTTATCAAAGTTAGCTACCTCGAATGACTCCACTCAGTTCAGGGCTTGCCAAACGGAAGGATATCAGCTAATCCCCTAGACCAGTCTCAGGAAATGACCACCTGGTTCAAACACTGTACACCTAAGGCCTCACTAGAGTGGAGTCAGTAATGAGTGGCAAGGAAACGAGAGTATTACTCTGTGACAAAGCGACTTATTTACTTCCAAAAAACGCCAAGATGCCTCGTTTATTAAATCCATGCACCGGTAGTCTTTAGGGCACATGCCGTCATGGCAGTGCCAGCAACTCACTGCTTAAGCTACTCATGAGTAGGACGAGGAATTGCAGATTTCGAGTTCCTTCTAGCTAACTGCGGAACCAGCAGTAGGACGCCAGGTGAGACACAACGGCACCCACTGTGTCCAAACCCAGTACTTCTGAGAAACAGCTGGTGATCAGTACAGAATTGCATAAGATGTTCACCATTGTCATTGCGTTTTGCGTTTATACTAAAAATACCACCGAAGCGAGCTTCCAGTGAACTGAGGCGTCTTAATTGCGGACAGAAATCTCCTGTTATTATGGCTATATCTGAGTTCTTCATGGTCGACAACAGGACGGCTAATTATCGGTATACAGCGTCTTTCAACAAGTCCGAACTACTCCGATGACGTATAAACAAACACGATAAGCAAGTAGCGTTCAGTACTTAGACCAGTTGTTATCGCAGTTGGACGTCTGACAGCACTAAAGCGGCCATTTATGTTTCCAATCGAACAATGAAGCTTCGGCTTGAAAACCTAAGGCTATACCAACGACAGTGCAACTCGCTGCAACCCAATCAGAATCACTCGAAGTTCGTAGTCTTTAGCGTCTAGATAGAGAGGATGCTGTAATTTCAACAACCTCACGTGGATCCTGTTTTAGAATTTCAGAGTACCTAGAATATGCGCAAGAGCGGCTT